TAACCCTAGTCCAGCTCCGGCATTGACCCCAGCTCCAATCCCAAGCGCACCAAGACCAGCTCCTCCACCAAGGCCAAGCCCTAGGCCACCGCCGCTTCCGCCACCGCCAAGGAGTGATTTTTCATCCTTGAATTGAGTATCTCCGGAGATAAGTTTCCTAGCACCGACATTGACACAAACAAGTGCAATGAGGAGTAACACAAGCAAGCTAGTGTAAGTGAGTTTCATGTTTTGCTTTGTTGGTAGAGAGATTCTTTTGTTTATGGTTAGTTAAGTTATAAGACCACATGCAAGGTATATATATACACACAAACATATCTAATGTAGGTGTGAAATAAATGCGAATAGATTTGAATTTAGGACCATGTATGAATAGCTTATATATATTTGTCTAAATGAACATGTCAAACAAAATGTAATTTTATTCAAAGATGTTAAATATATCATCGATCGATTTTCTAGATCTTGAAAAACATGAAATGTAATTTATTGGTAATCATCATTTTCCTTCGTAACATTTTTTTCACTTTCGCCGTGGAACTTTAAACAACTTTGGAATATGATGACATCATCCTTCATAAGATAATACAAAACATATATACATTCTTAAACGTCTTTTTGGTTTTCAACATTCTTAACCACGTGATTTGGTGATTGTACTCCAACGGGTTTCATCTTATTTGTGAAAATCAGAAATCAATTTTTTTGGAAGATACACACATTTAAATTACAACGTATATTCACGTGGTAGAAACATGTTACAAGATTAGATTCAATTTTGGGCTTAAAACACGGTCGTTGGAAAATATAATTATTCCTAACGGTTAGTGATTATAGAGATGCCGTGATGGTTAGGGTAGATAAGAACATAAAAAGACCAACAACTCCACCGCTTTTCTATGTATATATTAATTGGGAGGCCAAAGACATATACACATGATCCTTGAGTGAGACGTAAGAAGATAGGATCCGGTCTAACCTAACCAATAATCAATTCGAGCTCTTCTATCCGATTTGATTCATCATTAAACCATATTTTCATCGAGATGGTTTAGGGTTGACACTTTTAGAACCGGTCACGTTGTGTGCAAGGGCTCGACATGGAATGTATGTATTATATAAATGCGTAAATGGCTTTCAAATGACTTGTAGCGAGTAAGTAGATCCAATAATATAACCAACTAATTTAATTTCCCTTTTTTTTGCGGTAGTAGTTGAGTTTCATGTGACTGCATATATTGAAGCAAGTATATTAAAGACCATGTATCCAAAACTCTGATTTACTCCATCCTCGTATAAGTACCCACTATATTATATAGACTTATAATGTTAAGAGGTCGAGGAGATAACAAGATTGAGTTGGACATATTTCGATAATCAGAATAAACCAATTTGGTACGGAAACAAATAAATTCTACTAAACCGTCCTTTACCAAGGTAGTGGAACTATTTTTATTCAGGCCCATAGAGAGTTTAGCTCAGAGACAAAAGTAACGAGTTCATAGCTAGCACAACACACACTGAACCACATCTTCTTATCTTAGAGCAAATACTAACAAGTCTTCCTTTATTTTATGATCACACTTTTATTATTATGGTTTCTTTCTACTTAGCCTCGTGATCTCGACCATCATCATTGCTCTCCTCATTTCAGTTCCTTCAGAAAATCTTCGTTGTCAACCAGAATCTGTCATTTCAACAGCCAAACATTTTAAACAAAACCCGAGATCGAATCTAAACTTTCAATGCTACGAATGGAATCTTCGGTACCAGATTAGCTCTAATGTAACTGTACCAGACCAGATTTGTTTATCAATTACTAACCGTTTTCCAGCCATCTGGATCGAGGAACGAGACAATCTTGGTGCCAATTCCAGGAAGAGCTCCGGCTTCTCTAGTGATTTTTCCTCCCAGCTCTTGGTTGGCTATCTTCACAACTTCAGCGCTTTTGTACACATCATCGGTGCCTATTGCAATCTGTTTATTACATTTAACCATTTAATCATCAGAGAAATGAACACAAACCTGTTAAAGACAAGAGAAACAGTAGCAACAGAGACATGTCTAAGCCCAAACCTGTGCATATGCATTGCCCTTTGTGTACTCAGTCACGCCATAATTATAGGTCAGCTCCAAAACTATGGTCTCGTATTCATCAGCATATCCCAGCATGCCTATGGTGTACTGTTTCATCCAACAACAACAAAAAAAACTCGGTAAATTACGGCGTAGCTCAAAAGAGGTCTGAAGTGTATCATTGCGTACTTCACCTTGTATTCAGGTCTCTCGACCTTTCTCAAGAGTCTCATCCCAAGGGCCTGAAGGGAATTTTAAAGTGAGGTTAACAAGCTTTCCAGAGCACAGCAATGCTAATGAGTTATCCAAAAACACTACTAATGAATTATATAACATAAAGACAAACCTTTTTCACAGCATTACCTTTTCATAGAATTTGATGGAGCGGTCAAGATCACCAACACGAAGCATGACTTGACAGAATGGTTCAGGAGTTGGACCTCGCTGGATGAGCTCAAAAGTGTAGCCATCAGGGTCCTTCACAAACGCAATGATACTGCCTCCACCTTTGACTGGACCAGGTTCCCTTGTCACGGTTCCACCCTTGGCACGGACGGTCTCAACCAATTTGGAAACCTAATAAAGAACCGTTGTTCCATCTCTCTATTCAGGGACTCACATGCATATATTGATTCTTGAAATCTTAAATCAAAAGGACAACTTACATCTTGAGTCGCAATGGCAAAATGCCCAAATCCAGTTCCAATATCATATGAGCTAACACCATAATCTGCAAAAATCGAAAAATATTTGTGTCAACATAAACGATCTGAAAATGAACCAATGGTAACAAAAGACGGAGAGTGAAGAGAGCATACTATATGTCAGCTCCACGGCGAAATTAGATTCTTCAGATCCAAAAGACAGAAAAGCATTAGAATACTTCTCCTCTGGAACATCTCTTTTCCTCGTCAGCTTCATACCAAAGCACTCAGTGTAAAACCTGATGAGAAACAAAGTATAAATAACGCAGAAGAAGATATCACTGAAAGAGACAACCAACAAAATGGCATACTGGATGGTACGATCAAGATCACCAACGCGGTAGACGGCATGGAGAAAACGACGCTTATCCTTCTTTGGCCAATCAAACAAGTCACAATTTGGAGCAACAGCAGAAGCCTCAGCCATTTTTCTAATTAACAAACAAAAACAAAACTTGAGTCAGCTGCTTCCAATATCAGTGAAAAGAAACTCTACTTTTCTGACATAAGACAGTGAAAGAAATCAAGAAGCAATCTCATTCATTTCCCCTAAACTTGCTCTATTCTGGAATTTTAATGAACACCATTTTTCTCAAACCCCAAATGTCTAACAATAATTACATGAACCCAAAAAATCATAATCCAATGATGAACAAGAACAAACGCAATTAGTGAACACGGATCATCATCAAGGGAATGAATACTTAGATTCAATGAATCCGAGGCGATTATCGAGTAACGATCCACAATTCCCCCAAATGTTCACACAAGACCAACAAAAAAACCAGATCCGAGAAACACCGGATTTCATCAATTTGATTTCGAAGAAACTGATTCAAAATCAGACGAATTAGATCGCGAATTCGAGGACATAATCAACAATATCGGAATCTTAAAAGCTAGATCATCATCATCATCTACAACAGAAACTCACCTGAGAGAGAGAGAGAAGAAGATGTCTACACCACTGGGACTGGATGCTTTTCCGATAAATACAAAGATCGTCGTCACTTGTATAAAAATAGTTAACAAGTGAAACGACAGCTTCTCGGCTACTGCCTGTGATATAGTTCGATCATCACAGACGGGTTTTAACCGTTAGATGAGTGAGCGACAGATACCGTAAAACCTAACAGACAAGTCATGACATGACACGTGGCCACACGTGAATTATTGGAGATAATGGTACTGAATGATTGAGATTTTTGTTTTTAAAACGTGGCCTGTCTCTTTTTTATATCTATTACTTTCACGAAACGTGGCATACCTTTTTAAAATCTTTTTGAATTCCCTAAAAGCAAACAAATATAACGCATTAAGAATCATGTCTTTCTTTTTTTACCGACGTATAGTAGTAGTATGATACAATGGATAAATACCCCAAATACAAAAAAAAGAAAGTAGTATAATACTGTATAATGTATCCTAATTTCCTAAATTCTATAAAAAAGTAGTGTAACTCTTTTGGATTGGGGATAATTACAAAAATTTCACTTTTATTGTAGACATTTGTATTTTAAAAATACTATGATTTTGAAAATGTAGCATTTAAAAATAGCATTTTAAAAATGACATTTTTTTAAATTTGTCTTCTGATTTAGAGTTTAAACACAAAAATAGTGATTACAATTTAAAACTTGGTATATTATAATAGAAGAGTATATTAGTTAGTATATCTTTTTTGGAGGTTAATACCATCTCTAATGATTGCCTGTATTTTTTGCTCTAAAAATAGAGTAAATGTTTTCTCCTACTTTTCTCTCTAAAAATAAAATAATTCGATTATATTTTATTTTTATTTTACTGCTCAAACTTCTTTACTTTTAAAATTCATAAATTATATCAATGTATTTTATTTGTAACAATAGTGCAACAAAAAATTACAATATTACTAAAATTAATAACGTTTATTATGGAAATAAAAATTTTAAACATCGCATAAATAAAAAAATATGTGACGAGGCAATATTGTTGG